ATTAATTAATTATCTTAATTTGTTATGTATATTGTTTATTTAATATTTCATTACTTTATTTAATCACTTATTCGAATAGAAAATTAATATTTAATTTAATTTATCCTTTAAATATCTCATTAATTAATTACCTTGATTGGTTATTTATATCATTTATTTAATATTTAATTAGAACATAAATCACACTTTGTATGAGAATATCTAACAGAAATGAGAGTCGAACTTTAGGCATGATCACATTTTCAGTACATTAAATATTATTCAAGAATGCTGAAACTATATTTCCTCTATTAAATGAAGTCAAGTGAGAAGTTCCCGATTATAGTATGTTACTCTCTACCCAACGGATGTATAATATCTATTTAAATCCTATGTACTCTCTATTTATAGTGTGTTATATATGTAATTAAGAATAATTAGTTATTTATTATACAATTACATAAAAACTAAAGTATTATGAACATTTTAAAAAAATGCTTACATTTGAAATTATTATAATTACGGATCACAATGTAAATAAAAGAACGCTTACATTTTAATATGTGTTTAGTTTATCAGCTCTACGCCACGTTCGAATTCAATGTACTTCAATTAGGGCTGTCAATGGATTGAATTTTTATCCGAATTCGATGAAGTTAATGGGAGATGGATTTAGGGTCTCAATCCGATAACCGAATCGAGGTTCGAATTTGATAATTCGTTAACTAAATAAATTAATAGATTGGATTTTGATCCGAATATGATCTGAATCCGATGAAATTAATGGGAGATAGATTTAGGGTCTTAATCCGATAACCCAATCGAGATTCAAATCCGATAATCTGTTAATTAAATGAATCAAATATGGATATAGGTCAATCCAATCTGATAAATAAATAAAATCTTTATTTTTCTAATTTTTTTTTTTCAATTTCGGATGGGATATTCGATAGCATAGTTAATCAGATATGGATTTAACATTCAAATATTCGTCGGATTATTGAATCGGATCGGATATGATAATCATTATTAATGGATTAGATCGGATTTGAGCAGATCCGATCTATTTACAGCCCTAACTTCAATGCGAAGATTTCACAATCACTCGGGTCGATTTCACAGAAGAGGTTGGGCAACGGATTATCAACAGATGTTCTCTTTTCAATTTCGGATGGGATATTCGATAGCATAGTTAATCAGATATGGATTTAACATTCAAATATTCGTCGGATTATTGAATCGGATCGGATATGATAATCATTATTAATGGATTAGATCGGATTTGAGCAGATCCGATCTATTTACAGCCCTAACTTCAATGCGAAGATTTCACAATCACTCGGGTCGATTTCACAGAAGAGGTTGGGCAACGGATTATCAACAGATGTTCTCTTCTTTGCCTCGATCGTGTACGGAGAAACAATGTGTTGCTATAGCA